GTGGGTACTGCAGGAGAATGGGGAAATCTAGTCCATGCGTCAGGGGGATTTGATTTTGGGTGAAAATAGGCAATTAATTAAACTGTATGATGTTTATTGCAATATAATACTCTATATTATCACTCCTATGGCAGCTAGATACCCACCATCACAGCGGGTGTCTAGCAGCACCTGTATTCACCACTCTAAACTCCATTTCAATCATCATTAATGAAGAATGAACTTTGATGAAACTGGACAAGAGCAGTGGTGCTGGAATTGGAAATGGCTTCAGCATGCAGCAGTACAACACCACACCCTACCTCTACTGCTGTGGATGGATTTTTAGCAAAGATTGGTCACATTTCCAAGTCAGCAAGTGCCTATGTGGAGTTTGACATGAACTGAGGGTGAAGGAGGACGTGGGTAAGGAAGCAAAAGTAACGGTGCAAGCAAGATAAGAAGAAACAGGAATGTGCTAAGATACAAAATAGTGAACTGTTAGCAAGTTTTAAAGGTTAAGTTCCCATACGCTTATTTGATCAATTGTATACTAGTTGCTGTATGCTGCAAAAATATATATCAAAACATAATATACTAAGCTATTGTATATGTATCCAATCATAATACAGCAAGCTATTGAAGATGTATCTAATGATACTACAGCAAGCTATTGTAGATGTGTCAAAATATTATACAGCGAGCTATTGTATATGTAGCTGGAGTTGCTGTGTGTTACAAGAATATGTATCCGATTATAATACAGCAAGCTATTGTAAGCAGATGCAGAGAACAGTATAAGAAGGATAGATGCTTTGTAATAAACAGCTTTGGTCTGACCACATTGATCTCTGACTGAGTCCATTTTTTCTGCAGCATACTGCCCTGTGAAAGTCTGTTGTGACAGATGGAGCCCAAAGTCATGGACTAAGTTAACTTAACAGACTTTTATAGGGATGGTCCACAGACTAAGTGAAAGATATCTCTGTGTGCATATATCAAAAACAGGAAAGGTGATGGTGTTTGCCAGTGTCGGATGTGACATGACATAATTGGTATTAAGGGTACTGTCCTTGTTTCAGCTGGGATAGAGTTAATTTTCTTCCTAGTAGCTGGTGAAGTGCTGTGTTTTGGCTTCAGTCTGAGAATAAAGTTGATAACACACCGATGTTTTACTTGTTGCTAAGTAATACCTAGCCTGATCAAGGACTTCTCAGTTTCCCATGCTCTGCCCATGAAGAACAGAGCATGGGAAACTGAGAATCCAGGAGGGAGCATAGCCAAGGTAGCTGACCCAAACTAGCCAAGGGGATATTCCATACCATAGAATGTTATGCTCAGTACATAAACTGGGGAGAGTTGGACAGGAGAGGCCAGTCACTGCTCAGGGACAAGCTGGGCATTGATCAGTGGGTGTAAGAGACTGTGTCGGTGAAAGCACCACCGAAGAGAGCATCAGCAAAAACCAACATTGCTGACACCACTGCCACAGTGGATGTTGGTGCAGGATGTTTGTCCCAACATTGCTATTGCAGGAAAACCATCAACACCTTGGAACAACGGGGGAGAGCCAATTTGGAGAAACTTTACCAAACCCTTGTGTATATGCACAAACCCAGGGTCAAGGAGATGGAGGAGCCTGGAGACCCCTGAGGACCACCTAAAGCTTCTGGAAGACCCCCTAGTGATGGTACTGGGCATGCACACTACTGCTGCTGCATGGAGGATATGGTTAAGCAGAGCAGGTCATGACAACTCTATAAAAGAACAGCACCAACCAGCATGAGGGGGAATGTTTTCCTCACTGGACTTGGAAACTAGTGAGACTGTCAGGATGCCATAGCTCTGGGATGGTAGCTTGTGACAACAGATGACACGAACTCCTCTCATGAGGTGAAGAGAAGACCCATTATTGAAATACAGCTTGAGTTTTATAGCCCCTGTCCCAGCCCTGCAAAGTGCAGCACAGCAATTTTCACTCCCCTTATTTCTATACAAAATATTGATCACAAGATTATGACATTATTACTTTTTCTTTGCACAGGCTTATCTCATGTTAGTCTTATGATCACATTATTGCAAACACAGCATCTTATAATCACATTATTGCAAATGCAGTGTCTACACATTCCATTTTTGCTCAGAGCCAGTTCCTTGTTCTTTCTCCTGGTTCCTTTTCTCTTCTTTATTTTTATCCCTCCCAAGGCCTGTGTCCAACCATCTGTATGAAGTCCCAACCACTGATTTGGTGGAGACTAAGCTGCATCCATCCTCCACAGTAGCTATTGCTGTGAACTCTTTTATTCTTCCCTCTTACTTTCCTTCTTTTCTCTCTTCATCTCTCTCTCTCTCTCTCTCTCTGGAATTTGCAAACCTGTTGTTGTGCAAATACAGTTCCTTGGTGCTTGACTCTGTTTTGAGTCTCAATTCTGTTCCTGAGAATAGAAGCAAAACCGTGCTCAGGCCTCTGACTGGCATGCAACACTTTCTCAAAGCCCAGGTCGTTAGTGTGAGTTCAGTGGAGGCAGTGTAATCAAGACCAATGCAGTTTTGCCTGGACCAGATAATATGGAGCTAAGAAGATATTAGAAGCAATAATAGATCAAATCAGGACACTGATACTAAGAGAGCAATTATAGGCTCATAGGAAGGCATTAGGCATAGAGTGACCTGTTTGTATTTTATATTACAACAATTAAGCTGTTACTACTCCAACTAGCTCTTCAAGCACTGCCTTACAATAATGTTTCACAAGAATGGTGAAGACTGCCTTGTTGAATCAGCAGGCCAACACAGCTGCAGCCATGCGATTTGCATTAACAAGAACTGGGATGAATTATCCACAGAAGCATCATAAATGTTATTTTCAAATTAAATTATGCAATGAGACCACTCAGCTTGACCTCAGAGCACATAATGGAACGTATTAAACTGGCTGCATCACTCCAAAGAACTTGGAGTAGTTTTATATGGGATAATTCAAGAAAAATCTGAACTTCCACGGGAAATTAGGAATTCTTTAATACATGCTATGGGCTAAAAGGCATTATGTAGGGAAAATACTGTAATATGTAGACAGTGAACAGTCACAAGATCTGTAGTAAAAAAAAAATAAATAAATGAAAGCCATTCTGAAAATTTCAAGCAGCGTATGACAGAGAAATAAGATGGGATGGATGAAGAGCTGACCAAGAGCTTACGGATCAGGATTAAAGGGAGGGCAGGGGCAAGGGATATTACAATGGGGGTTTGCTACAGGCCACCAGACTAGGAAGACTGAGAGCGTGAGGCCTTCTATAGACAAGTAGGTGCATCCTCACATTCACAAGCCCTGGTTATCATGGGGGCTTCACCCACCCTGTCATCCGTTGGAGGGGTAACAAAGCAGGGCACAAGCAACCCAGGAGGTTCCTGAAATGCACTGATGATAACTTCCTTCTCCAAGTGACAGTGGAATGAACAAAGAGGAGGCCTGTTTCCTTCTGCTTCTTCTGCCCATGAAATGATTGACAGAAAGCTGGTACTTGAAGGTGGAATAATAAAACTAAGGGAAATGTTGCACGTTCTTAATAATTATTAGGAAACTGGTGCTTCTGATACAGCGTTAACCAATGTACAAGGGGGTTTAGAGGAATTCACTTGCTTAAAAAAAATATTGTCTGTACCTATCACGCCTGCTAAGCAGAACAAAGGCACTAACTATTGACAAGGAAAAGCAGACACCTGCTTCTATTGGTAAGGAAAAGCAGACACCTAGTTCTATTGATAAGGAAAGCAGACAGCTGATTCTACTGATAAGCAGCTATTGATAAGGAAAAGCAGACCCCTGATAAGGGGGAGAAGCAGATGGTTTATGGCTGGGACACCGACCAAACCCTAAGTCCATATGTGAAGACTAAAAGGTGAAAAGTTCAAGAAGAGGAAGACTCATTTACTTCATTTTGAGACCCTCGCCCACGACCACGGGGGGGAGGGGGGGTGCACTGCGCAGGTGCAAAGGACCTTCTAGCTTATTATAATAGGAAGCAAGATAGGACATGAATATGTATAGGCGTACTGTGCAACCTTATGAATATATGAAACTTTAGAGAATAAATGTAGAGGGGAACAAGACTGAGGCATGCATGACTTCGAGGAATTATCCCGTGCGTCTCAGGGCTGAATAAAAAGCATACCTACTTTACAACTTTAATGAGTTGTGGAGTCAATCCACGTATCAATTCCATAGTGTTAGAGCAGTGTCACCTCTTAAAAAGATGGTCATAAGACAAGGAGAAAAGAGTGATGGGATATTTAGTAAAGGACTCCTGCATATAGAATGAGAATGCTCCCAAGCAACTCACAGATGGCACACTCGGTTCTTGCTACAGTAAGCACCCCTCAGCGGCTCTGAGTTGCCTCATTTGTGCTATTGAGGAGAAAGCTAAACCAAAGCTTGCTCTGTTGGCTGCATGTACCTCCTGCTTTTGTTAAAAAAATCTCAACTGGCCCGTGCTGACTGAATAAAATTACAAAGGAAAATATTTATCCATGTGCATGAAGGGTCCCAGCCAAAACGGGAACATCCAAGTGATTTTTCTTTAAGTGATTTTTCTTTAAGTGATTTTATAGCTTATGCTCTAAGAGTATGATATGAACCATCCTATTACCTACTAATGCATATTTCTAATTATTCAATCATAATAAAGTACATTTTGTAGGTTTTGTAGTATCATCATCCATTAGCATCCTTGAGGTTTATCTGTTAATTCAGATGTTGCAGTCACTGATTTCAGCAGTTACCTGGGAATCATCAGCAACCCATGTTTCTCCTAGATTCTGGGTAAACAGGGGTTTCTTTATCTTAGTTGATCACTTGTTCTTTTTAGTAGGGGTGACAGGTCTGAAGATAATGATGCAGCAATTATATGCTAATAATGCTGTTAGGTCTAAAGAACTGTGTTGTCTAAATTTATACCACAATATCGAGACAGAAATGTAAAAGACAAGGAAAAAGAAACTGAATTGCAAATAGCAAGATCTGGCAGGCAGCAGGTTCTCATCTCTGCAGATTAATGGAGGTTAGGAAAACCGGTGCTGTGGTATGACTGCAATGATGCCAGCTATGAGAAAAACTGGTTGAAACACCTGCACCCCTTGCCTGAAGGCTGCCGACCTCCTCAAGTCCCCTTGTGCTTCTTCCCGGCTTGGGAAGAACTCTGTCCTAAATACTAAGCGCTGGAAGTGGGGCGAGACTGACACTTTGTGCGAGTTTTGGGACTTTCCATACTGCTTCGCGAGTCTCTCCCGCCGCTCCTCGCCACGATCCCCGAGCTGATCCCAGGGCGGGCAGAGAGCAGGACTACATCTCCCGTCATGCCTGCAGCACTGAGAGAGCCGTCGCCATTTAGGTACCGTACCCCGGAGCCGTTGGGTCCGGGCCGTGCTGCGTTCACCGCTCCCCGCCGCTGCCATGAGCCGCCTCAGCGGCGGTTGGGACGGCGCCGGCGAGGAAGCCCAGCTCCTCCTGGACCTGTGAGTGCCGTCCCGACACCCTGTCCCTCTGCCCGCCGGCCCCCTCTCCCTCCGGGAGGTTCGGCGGCTTCCGGGCCGGCCGGGCGGGTTAGGCCGCTGCGCTCACAGCGGGGCCGCGGACTCGAGTAAACGCATCGCCGCCGAGCAGCCCGCGGGGCCTCCTATGGGGAGCCTGGAGGAAGGGTTTGGCCAGGGGGGCACGGTTGGGCAAGCCTTTGGCCGCGGTGGCACAGTGGGTGACAGGGTTTGGTCATGGTGACAGGGCAGGCAGCAGGGTTCAGTGGGAGCCCCAGGAGAGGTGATGGATGGGGTTTGGTGGGGTGGCAGGGTGAGTGATTTGGTTTGGCAGGGGTGGCAGCATGTGAAGAGTTCCAGGACAGGTGGCAGGGTTTGACAAAAGTGACACAGCTTGGCAGGTAGAGCATGGGATGATCCCTGGCACATCTGGATGTGGAGGGATGGGTGAGGATCCCTGGCTTCACCTGGCCCCAGTGAATCCACTGAATGGTGTTTTCTTTGTGGTTTTCATTATGTCAGATTTCTCTGCGTTCAGGAAGGAGTTTGTGACAGCATAAGAATAAAGTATTTGATTTGACAACTGAAATTACCTAGCAAACAATACAGTTAGACTTTTATTTTAAAGCACTGAATATGACATGGTTTCCCTGGTGTAGCCAACAAGTGGTTTAGTTTCTTATAAAGTAGAATAACAGTGAAAACATAACTGAAATGATTAATTGTTTAAACTGTAGAACAGTAATGCACCCTGAGAATATCCACCAGCTCTTTGAAAAATAATATGAGTAATCTTAATAAGCTTTCCTCAAGCTAAGGTTAAAATTATGTGGCAAGAGACAGTTAAATGTAACCAGATGATTTGGCACAGCTTACATTGATTTCCATGTATCTGTATAGGTTTTGAAGTATTTTCTGCACATTTGAACCAAGTCAGTCAGTCTCTTTGGTCCCTGCTCTGGCATGTCTATATTAGCCACTTAGTTATCTTCAAGAGAAAAAAACCTAAATTTGTATTGAGTTTTTAGATACCACAGTTTTTATGTACTACAGTATATGGTGACAGTTGGCCTCCTTCAGGGTGAATTGACAAAGAAGTTCATTTACCCAGTGGGCAAAATGTAGAGTCATATGAAAATATGCATTTAGCGCGTGACTGAAGTGTGTGCCCTTGTATGATAGAGGACTGCTTGCCCATTTGTGTGCCATCCATCATACAAGAGGGAACAGCCACATGGAAAGTGCCCCCCAAAAGGCTCAGAAACTATTATTTGACTCACCCTAGCCAAAGATAGGTGCTTTTTTAACACTGAGGAGGTGCTGGTTTATTTGGGATCTCCACAGGAAAGATGTGGGTTTTCAAGGCTAGTTAACTGGTTCATTACATAAAGGATAGTAGAAAACATGACAGCAATCTGCTGTTCCTTCTGACGCTGGGGACCCTGGCTATGGCAGCATGAGACAAGCCCCCTCACACTGAGCAGCATGCTGTGCGGATCCGGTCTGGGGTGAGAGTCACACTTGCTGCAGGCTTTGGAGTTTTGATGAGATTTTCTTTTAGGAAGTAAACAACTGTTCTTTATTTCTGCAGTTAAGCAAAGGAATGTTACATGTAGGTATGCTGTTTAATCTCAAGACAAAGAATGTGGGTGGTGTAACTTGCTTGAATGTGCACTGACTCGGAGCCATGTACAGGCTTCTCAGTGTCAGTTAGCCAAGTTCATCCAGCAGTCACCACAGTTGGGTGAAGATATTGCATTCTTACACATCTCCAGGGGAACAAGTTAAAGGCAGTTGGGGTGTGTGCTCAGGTTATGTAACAGCAGCTCATGCTGATACACTGCAAGCCAGGCCTGTGTTTACACTCTGCTTGGATTCAGCTTGAAATCAGTGTCTTCTAGTTAGTGTCTTCTGCAGTGACCTGCTAGAGGTGCCCTGACTGCCCTGTGCTAACTTTAGTGGGTTTTTTAATGTGCTTCCACACTGGAAATCTTGCTTCTTTCCTTGCTTAAATCTGGCCACACTTCAGACTGTAGAGCCTTAATATTTTGACCTCTCATGAGTTTTCAATTGGTATGAATTTAATTTGTTGTGATTTAGTTGCAGTCTGGTGCCAGACAAGGTTCCTTTGGAAAAAAGCTTGTCCCTTGGGACGCCAGAGTTGTGGCTGTATGCTAAAGCTCGTTTGGCTTAACTCTAGGCTGCTGCTGCCCCCTGCCCTCAGCCACTTGTTTTGGCAGTACTATTTCTGTGACCTCACAGTTTCATGATTTATTAATACAAAATTAGTAAAGATAATACTAAGATAGAAAAATTTATGTCTCAAGTGACAAACCTCTGTCACCAGACCTAGTTTTAAGCACAAAGTTAAGAGAGTTGGGCACAAGGTTACACAGCACAATTCATATTAAAAGAGTGCTACAAACTAGGCAGTGAACAAAACACTGTATCTGAAAATAACTCCTTAACGTTTTTAGCTGAGGTGAATCAAAGGTGTTCCTTCTCTGGAACTAGCTGTCCTAACTGAAGGTGTACTGCCTACCAAGTGGAGGCTTTGCTGGTAAAAAGGCTTTTCTTAGAGCTTGTGAATGTATGACCAACAAACTCATTTTGTGAGCTGGGTTACTGATTGGAGTGAATGAGGCTAATTTATGCCTAGAGTTGATTGGGGAACACTTGCCACAGAAGGATCAGCTGATTGACCCCAAAGGGCAACAACTGAATTGGTAGTAGCACGGAACAGCTGGAACTGATAAGGTTTGGAGGCAGCATAGCCAATGCAGAAGATGACATCTTATGGCTTGATTGTTCTAATTCTAATATGTAATGCCTATTTTTAACTATACTGTAACTTTCCTTTATTTCAGATGCCTTCAGTGTTTGACAAAGAACCTTTCCAGATATGCTGCAGATATTAAGTCATTGCCACCCAACATAAAGGATAAACTGATTAAATTAATGAGTAGGCAAGGGCAAATAACTGATTCAAATATCAGTGAGGTAAGAACCCATTCAAAACTATACTGTCTGTGCTAGTTAATACACAAGAAAGAGCTAAACTAAAACTTTACTTTAGACAACAGATAAATTCAGGCCTGTTTACTGTATGTCTCTACAGTTTTTTTTCTTAAACTTCATTAGCCTTCATTAACCTTTATTAGTAGTAATAAGATTATGTTTGCAGTGATAAAAATGTTCTCTGTTCAGTGACGTGTATCATCTCTTTTCAGTATGGGAAACTAGACTGTTGCAAACCAGTTTCTGTTCCTGAATGTACTATGTTTCAAGAAGCTAGTGCATAGTTTAGTAACAAAAAGATTTCAAGAACTTGTTAGATTTCTTTTATGTTATATTGACATTATGCACATGATCTCCATATTTCAAATGATTAAAATTTAAATACATTATATGATGATGGTAGGGCTAGAAATCGATGGTCAAATTCTTTCATCTCTTTTGCTCACTGATGTATGCCAGTTTTTCAAAATGAAACCAGTTAATGGCTTTTGTTTTAGCTGCAAATTCAGGGGCACGTCTATTTTGGTATCTATCTACTGCTATCTTGTTTAGCTTCAAAGGGAGGTGAGAGAATGGAGGAAAGCTAAAGGTTGGCCTTAGTGAAATGTAAAGTGAATGACTCCCTGTTCATTCCTGCTTTGACCTGTAACTTGGAAGAAGCAAATAATACCAGTTTCTTAGAATCAGAAGAGTGAAGCCAAGACTAGAGGCAGAATCAGAAGTACTGTGGAAAACTTATGAACAAGAAATTTTATCTTTAGTATACACCATTTTTGGATTGTACAAAATAAGTCTCTGAGTAAAAATCAGAGTCTTACGCATTTATCTTATTTTGGAAGATTTGAGTTGGCACAATTTGGTTTAGGGTATCTTTTCAGTAAGTAATCCTTTCTAAGCATCCTAAGAAATACATATAATTAAAAACCACATGATCATGTGTCTATAAATGTGCAAAACCTATTAGGATATCTTTAGTCTGGAAATAAACTAGAGAGTTTAAGATACAGTCTTTTCCTCTGTTTGTAATATCTCATCTTTCTCATAATTCAGCTGTGCCTTCTTTGGAGACTATTTTCCGTTCTGACACAGGGATACTCTGTGCTGGTTACTTTTCTCACGTGTTTTTTCCTTTCTCTGTTCCTGTAATTTCCTGCAGTTACAGCCTTAGCTGTCATCACTTTCCTTAGACATGTTATACCTTAGCTTTCTTTGCTAACAGTTTCCAGGTTTATTTCACTTGTATGTTTAAAAACACGCTGGCCACCTCTTGGATTCTGAACTCACAGCATTTCTCCATACCAATTTGCTCTGCGGTTTTCCTGTTCTGTCATCTTGCAGATATTTTTTCTGCTTAGCATAGCAAAAATGGCTTCTGTCAATTAGCTTTTCTTACTATTCCTTGTTCACATCATGTATGACTGAAATATTTTACATGTGACACATATGCAGCGTTTCAATTAGTCATCCATACAGATAAGGAATTCTTATTCTTTTCTGTTACTTCTGTCCTGGCCTTTTCTTTCATGATCTCCAGGGTACTGTAGCTAGGTCTATTCTCTTGGAATTTTCCAGGCTGTGTTATCTCATTTGCTTTTATGTATGTCCTTTCTATGGTGTTTAAGTATTTTGCCTAAGGTTAAAGATCTTCCAGTAGAAATTCTTGTTAAGTTGCACTTATGTATAAACTTGTATGTCATTTCTTAACTCCCTGTTCTTTCCCAGATTTGTGTTACCATGCTGCTTTTTTTTCCCTTACTCTGCTTTTTCATTGGAGCAGCCTTTCACGACATACATGCTAAACTCCTTACTCCAGTTCACTTTTACCATAAAGATCTATAAAGCCATTCAGCATGCGTCCACAAGATATAAGTCTATACTTCAATCTCCTGAACTCTGCATCCAAACAATCCTTATTCTATCTAAAGTTCCATTTTTTTGAAACATATTAGATTTTAGCTGTCAGAGCTATCTGAGGTCTGCCATTCAGCAATCAGAAAGTTTTGAAGTTTTGCTTGTTTTTCAAGAGACTTATTTGACTTTGTCAGTAAACATTTCAGCACCTTATATATTTGCAAAACATAAAACAAGTATTCCTTGTAATATCATTACTGTGCCTCTTAGAATGGTGAACCTGAGAAAGAAATAGGCCTTTAACAAGCCTGTCACTTATGCTGTTACCTTTGCTTGTGTGTGGAAATCTACTGTATGCTTTTATCGTTGTTAAGGAAGGGAATTGCAAGCTGAAAGGAGTAATAGAAAGTAATGTGAAAATCTGATTTAACGCTTGCTTGTTCTGAAAGACAGCTCAATGAAGGTATAGGTTGTTTGCACAAGAGGGAGCTATGAACAGTATTTATTAAAAAGTAGTGAGAATCCTTGAAAATTAAATTAGAGGTTATATATATGGCTATTGTTACTAAAATCTGAGGATTTCCATTGCTTTGGGTCTAAATTTCATAAATGTCCCTTTGGGGAAGATTTCACAAAATCCAACCTGTGGTCTTATGGGAGTGAAACAGACTATTTAATGAGGATTTGGTACCTTCTCATGGTATGATAATGGGATTGCTTGTTTATGAGAAAAAGAGCCTGTGTGTAGGTGACAGAAATACACTGGGGCAAAATATATTTCAAACATTACCCTTTTCTGTTCAGTGGATTTAAGTTTTGATCACCATGAGTGTATTTTTACACTTCAGATTACTGCCATCAAAATTGTAAGACTTTGAGGGTGTTATCCTCAGTAAACATAGGTGAGCTAGTGGAAGCATTAGTGATAGCAACTGCACCATCAAAACACTATTTCCACTGTTTAAATAGTAGTGTTAATGTGCTCCTACTGTAGATGTGATCACAGAAACTGAATGTTCATGCTGTAGGGGATGAACAGTTGTGGCAAATATACCATATTTTCTTTAGAATTTCTTTAGAACTGGTAACCCCATCCCCTAGTGAATATTTTTTAAAAGTTCTATGTGATGTCTAACATTACAAGGATTTTAGATAAAAATAGGTATGTTCTATGACATAGCAGAGTTTGCCTGAAACAGTAAGTTTTCATTACAGGTATTGCACCCTGCTGTAGAGTCTCTAGACCTTCGAGACTGTGATATTTCAGATAATGCATTACTGCAGCTTCATAACTGCAAGCAACTGAAAAAAATCAACTTAAACTCTTGCAGAGAAAACAGATTTGGAATCACTTCAGAAGGTATGTTGTCTGTGCACAGGTAACAGGGATCTTAATTCTGTTTCAGTTTTCTTGTTAGATTGGAGTAAGTTGCAAAAAATGTCTTGGGTAAATGCTGCTTAAAAAAATCCCCTATGTCACACCAATACTAATTACACGGTTGTGTAAATTACAGGCCTGGAGCATTGATTAACTTACAAAAGAGAGCTATCAGGTTACTCTCATGATAGTTTTCAGGTAAAACTATGCTACATTTGATAATCTGTTCCACTTCATCATAATTGTTCCTTCCTCAGAACTTGTTTCAGAGCCTTTCCAACACCACTGGGATTGAAGCTTCACCACATGTGTTTGTTATTAAATAAGCTTATAGTATCTTGTCTGACTTAAAAGACTTGACTTGCTTTAGGACTTCAGGATTTTAGGTGTTACTGATACGGGGTTAACCGATGTACAAGGGGGTTAGAGGAATTCGCTTGCTAAAACAAAAGTATTGTCTGTTGTATATACCTATCATGCCTACTAAGCAGAACAAAGGCACTAATTACTGATAAGGAAAAGCAGACACCTGGTTCTACTGATAAGGAAAAGCAGACACCTGATTCTACTGATAAGGGGGAGAAGCAGATGGTTTATGACTGGGACACCGACCAAACCCTAAGGCCATACATGAAGACTGAAAGGTGAAAAGTTTAAGAAGAGGAAGACTCATTTACTTCATCTTGAGACCCCAGCCCATGACCAGAGGGGGGCACTGCTCAGGCGCAAAGGGGCTTCTAGCTCCATTATAATACGAAGCGGGGATAGATACTTAATATGTGTAGGCGTATCGAGTAATCTAATGCATATGTATACCTTATGAGAATAAATGTAGAGGGAAAAACGACCCTGGGTGTGCATACTTTGGAGGAGCTATCCCCGTGCACCTCAGCGCTGAATAAAAGCATACCTACTTTACAACTTTAACGAGTTGTGGAGTCAATCTGCGTATCATTACAACTTGAAACTGGAGGTTAAAAGTATCAGGAGCTATTAGCTTAAAAGAATTAAGTTTGCTGAATTCTATTTTCCACAAGTTTTGTTTTGTCTTTTTGGTTAGACTTACTCCTTGCTCCATCATTTACTCATCTGTATTGAAAATTGTGGCAAAATACTAATTTAGTATTGAGCTAATGTATACCATACTTTAAATCAGTCCTGGTTTGTATTTTCTTAACCACTGCAAACTGGTGCATTTTTTAAGTGGTTAAACTATTCAAAGTGGATTTTGTTGATTTTTCAATGTCACCTCATTCCACTTTTTGACCCCTGAGATACAGTTTGTGATGGTTTTCCTCCATGGCTTCATCTATCCACTAATTTCTAATACGGTTCTTAAGGTACCAGCTAAGCCTGAAGCTTTTTAGGTATATTTTTCATCTGTTTGGGTAGAGGTTCCTGATCACTTTGTAATTAAAATTGAAGTCTAGTTCTTTCTTGGCAAGTTCCTAGTCCACCGAATTTTACTAACTCTCCTTCTTTTAAATTGAGCCCTTTTTAAATTGAGAATCAGTTATGAAGCCTTTAATTTAAGCTGGAACAGTTCTTTCTCACTCATCGCAGTTTTCATGGAGAAAAAAACAACAAGCAAACCGACTTAAACCCAACCCATTCACATGACCTTTTGTTAATTCAGTACTAGGTGTGTGCGTGGGGGCGTTGGTTGGTTTGTTTGAGTGAGGCTTTTTTGTTTGTCTTAACAATCCTGTTGCCTACCACATGTAGGAATATCTGAGCCCTGTCATTACTAGGAAACATTTGCTTTGTAGGTTGCACATGGAATATCTCATGTCCCTTAATACAATATCCAGTGGTACTTCTTTGTCAAATTCAGCTACCAGTACTGTCTGTTCTGTCCTTCTTTGCAAAGTGGTTCTGACCCAAGTGTGTGCTATTTTATCAATGCTTCTGTGGAGTCCTTGCATGGTAACATGTCATTCAGCTGTTTATTTTTATCTATCCAGAAGTAATGTATTTTTCTGTACCCCTATAATTACCATGTTTCTATCATCCTTACAATAAAAGTTCCTTTCACGATTTGCATCTGCAGTTCATGTACTTTTACTGACTACCAATATTTTGGTCATTATTGACTGTCTGGGCTCTTAGGGCACCAACAGACCCTAATGGCCATGGCTGGTTTCACCTGCCAGATCCACCTACACTAACTGCCTAGGGACCCTCAAGTCCTGGCCTCAGCTGTGTCATAGGTGTACCTGGTTCCTGCCCTGTTTCTGAGCTATTGCTTTGATGTTTTGAATTGACCTTTGACAAAACCTCTTACCTCACTTTTTACCTGGGACCTAGCACTACCATTAGTCTGCTTTTGAGCTATTGGCCTTTTTTTGTGCACTCACTGAGCTGATACCTCATGTATGTTAAGATCTCTCAAGTATCCCTCTGCACTACAGAAAGGAATTCAGTATTTAGAAATTTTAATCAACTCTGGCATTGTTCATTGTCATTTTCTTATTCTTGAATTAAAAGAAACCAACCGCAAAACTGAGTCTGCTGGGATGGCATGAGATGAAAGTTAAGCAGTCAATGACCAGAGGACAGCATACTGGTTTCAGCATGGTGGTTATGTAAAAAAATGAGTAATTCTTTAAATTGCTCTGTTTCTCCAACAGGTGTCATAGCACTGGCCTTATCCTGTCCTTACTTGTGTGAAGCATCTTTTAAAAGGTGCTGTGATATAACTGACAGTGGAGTTCTTGCTCTTGCGCTCAACTGCCAGTTCCTACAAATAGTGAACTTGGGCAGTTGCTCGGGCATCATGGATGCGTCTCTGCAAGCACTAGGAGAAAACTGCAAATTTCTTCACAGTGTGGATTTCTCATCTACTCAGGTAGCTATGGTGGCAATTGGCCAATTGACTTCTATTTGTTTATTTTATAAGATTGTCATGATAAAGTTGAAAAGGGATCTTTTTAGCTGTACTCTTGACAAGATTTAGGACCATAGGTCCTTCCAATTTCCTCCTTTCAAGGAAGAAGAAAGACACAGTTTGCATCTTGGTAACCAGAAAAAAACCCCACATTTTGATACTACAACATGTATTGTGGACCAAACATAAACTTTTATTAGAATCAGTGTAATAGTGGAGATTTTTTTTTCAGTATCTTTATTGAGAGCAATAATTTTCTTCAAGTTGTAAAGTAATCAAAAATATTTCATTTAAAGAAAGTGGAATCTTGGACAGATATCATCTGCTTTTAGTTAGAATAAACTGACCTGAATAATAATAATACAGGATATCAAACAATATAAGCACCTAGTAGAAGTAAACACTGTAATTAATTCTAGTTTAGGAGTCACTGTGCTTTCTGAATGGCTTGTCAGAGTTATGGAGTCAACATGGAAAGAATGACATTTAAGATGTCAGAAAGGGCAGGTAAGAGAATTTAACAACAGTATTCAGCATAAGAAGGGGAGCTCAGCTACAACAGCAATGCTGTAACATACTTTATAATTACAGTAAGATAATGAAGTGAGGGAAAGGGTTTTCCGCTGTAAGCATCTGGTTGACTGTGATGGTGAGTGATTATGTTGAATGTGAGTCAAGCACAGAGAATTAATAATGAAGTGTCAGATTTGGAAAACACACAACAGGTTCTTATCTTAGATGCTGTTCTTTCTGATTTTGCAGAAGTAGAGCATCAAAAGTAATTTTAATCTTTTCCTTGGTAATTTTTATTATTAATGTTTAACTCTATTTCTTCAAACTTACTTCATTACTTTTTTGCTCCCTTTCGCCTTCATAGGAAATAACTAAGTTTCCCCATTTTCCATGTTTTTAATGAGATGAAAGTTTCATGAGTAACTTAAGTGTTTCCACATTTTGAATTCTTTTCTGATAATGATATCATAATACACTAGAATTCTGATTTTTTTTACCAAAAATAAATAGAAACATATACAAGATGTAATATATATCGCATATATATATAGAGAGAGAGAGAGATCGCAAGGCCTAACCATACTCTTGTGTTTGAGTGCCAGAATGCATAGTAAAAGTATCAAGTGTAACTGGCAAAGCTGTGTGAAAGAATAAGATAGCAAGAACATTGGAAATAAATGAACAGGCAAAGGAGAACACAGTTCAGTTGTAGGAATATGGAAGCAGATGTGAGCTAGACCACAAAGGAACTAAATGCTTCAAGGTGATGTAGCCATTTTTAAAATAGGTCTCACCTAGTGCCTGTAGAGATGAAGTACAGTAAGTAGAAGGTATGGAAGTGGTGCAGGGAAGGGAGGGGACTTTGTTTTAATACAAAACTGGTTTCATGCTCTCATAACCCTATACCCACAAGCAACAAGACAGTAGCATTCAGATGATCTCTCCAATGTTCAGTCTGGTCCAGGTTTGTTTTAGTGACGTGGCGAGACTCAGGCTGATCTTAGATTGGTAACCGTTGGTTTTGGATGTGTCATTTTATACCCTTTGGGAACTGACAGTAATTACTCTCTCCATTCTGTCCCACTTGTGGTAATTATTAGAATTTATTCATTCACTGCTCTTTGTCTTCTGATCTGGGTGTCTTGTGCTAAATGTGTTGTCATCTTGATGACCTGCTAAGATAGGTATTGACAATACCTGACAGTTCTTACAGGCCTTTATATGCCTTCATGCTGGGACATTCCTGTCCGTTCTCCATTTGTACTGATCTGACCCTTTCTGTTATAGTTCTGTAAGGCAGACTGATAATAAAGGGCCAGAAAACAATTGGAGCAACAGGAATAACAAACCTTTAAACAGAAATGGAGCTTGTGGTCTATGGATTCTAGCTGTCCAATTTGGCTGAGCCTTACTGTGCGTATTTGGTGACTACTATTCCTGCCATCTAATATAAGCTTTGTGAAAAAGCCTGTGTGATGAATCTGACATCCAATTGAGCTTTCAAAGTGAAGAAGTTTAATGAATTTGGTTCCTGGAAGCAAGCAAGTAAATTGCCCTGTATTGCCTTTCTAAGGAGAGGAATGTCTTTTGTCTCTCTCCTTGTGCTTGCAGGTAATCATTGTTCAATCACTTTGATGAAACTTTTAGAGCAAGTGCATAACTGCTGTAAGGCTGCTTGTTTGAGGGATTTTCGTCTTGTGTTAACTGTTTTGCTTCAGATAACTAAGACAACAGATAAAAGGCTCCTGTGATTACTTTTTTGTCTTTTTTCCCAATCCAAGAAATTTCATTAATATCTGCAGCAGTCCTGAAAACAGGACTAAAAATAGTCTGGGTAGAGCACAAGTGCTTTAAGCCTTAAAAAATTAAAAACTGAAGTGCTCTGACCATGCTAATGTGGCCACTGTTCAGTGAGGCAAGGAAGCTGCAGGACCAGCAATGACACAGTTGGAAACATCTGTTTAGAAAGGCAGGCTGGATCACACAGCAGTATAATGCAGCAGTAGGTAACAGACTGAAAAAAGCTATACTTGGGTAATTTTCTCTACAAGCTTAGTTGGGAAGAAAATCCTGTAATGTTAAGTGTATTCAGTGACTGTAGGGAGTGAATAAATTAATAACATTTCCGCACACCCCCAGATAGCTGTGTTTGAAAAAATGAGCTTTAATCTGCTGTATTGATAACAATGTGATTTTTTTCTCTAGGTAACAGATGATGGTGTTGTAGCACTAGTAAGTGGAATGTGTTCAGAAAATTTAAAGGTAACCTAATAACAAAGAAATGAACTAAAGCAATTGCCTGCATTTTAAAGTTATTATCAGTATTACTTCTGAAGGCCAGTTTTTATCGACTGACGTTAGCCTTTATGTACACACTTGGCCTGATCTTGGTTATGAATTGAATATTTTCAATCTCTGTCTCTCTGTAGCAGTGCCCCAGACTAGTTTTTTGAGAAGCTCAGTCTTTTCAAAATGAGTTTTCTGCTGTTTAATGTAGTATGCTTATTTTAACTCACATTCTTTCAGAGAGCTGTATAAATGCAAATGAATGCTTAACTTTTTCCCTTGATTTCTGTGTAGTTATTTCTTGATTCTCTTGAATACTGAGGCAGAAGTTGTAATGTGAATAATGTCACAGATACAAGAAATCAGTTAACAGCTCTGCACAGATAAATCTCTTAATCTGTGAAAGCGACCGTGAAAATGAAGTTGTCTTTGCGTAAAGAATATCTGGACACTGAGACAGTGATAAAATGTTGAAGAGACATCCCATACCTCTTGCCACAAATGAGCTACTTTTTTATGTAGTGCTTATCTGTGTGTGTTTACTTTTGTAAAGATTGGTTCTGAATCCAAGCTATCCATTTAGAAGTTAAGATGGGAAACAAGTCACAGTTGCTAGTTTATAATAAAAAAACCAAAACAAGCAAACAAAAAAAACCACCAACCCCACAACCAAACCCAAACAAAATACCAAATCTGAGTCAACTGACAGTATTAATAACCTGGAAAAATAGAACTGTTTTCTTTGGAGGGCAAACAGTTAGATTTGGGTTTGGTTTTTTTCCTGGCTAATTTTGTCTATTTTGGACAAAATTTTTAGTCTTGAATCTAGTCTTCATAAGTGATGTAGTACAAGATGATACTGTCTTTTAGAAAATAGCAGTGAGATATTTTTTATATACTAGAATTGACTTGAAAATGTCTTTGTCTTTTAGCAGGTTATACCTTTAGCTGTAGCAAAACATTGATCCCAGCTGTTCTAAACAACCCTGATACTATGCAGATGGCCTTCATAAGAGGCATAGTAGGTCAAGATTTCTGAAAATGATTGGACAAAGGAAAGGTCTGACTCCAAAATGATGGGTGCCCTGACAGGCTTTTGTAACTATTATTTTCGTAACAGGAGATCCACATGGAACGCTGTGTGAATCTGACTGATGTCGCTGTGGAAGCGGTTCTTACTTGTTGTCCAAAGATACACATTTTTCTGTTCCATGGATGCCCTTTGATAACAGGTAGGTCAAATAATGTAGGGAGCAAGAAGAGTAATTACTTCCTGGTAGTATCTTCTTGCTCTCTGGAAACACACACTACACTTTGTAAATAATCCCAAACAAAAAATAATAAATTAATAATCATACTCTGAGATTTTTCAAAGCAAGGTGAGAGTTTTGCTTTGATGTGTGGAAACCATCAGAGAGGGAATTTTTGTTGTTGGTTCTGAACTTGGATTTTTTTAAATTTCCTTCCCCCCTAGCCCAACATTCTGATGAAGACCCAAAGTTGATGATAAGACTTCAGAAACGTGTTAGCATCTTAAACCCCTCCTCTATTCCAAAAGTATGCAACAGTAGCCATTCTAGAAACAGTGGAATGGAGAAGGACTGGTCAGCCCAAAACAAATCTAAGAGAGGTTATGATATATCTTGAGTTTTTTAAGTTTGGTTGGTTGGTGATGCATTGCAGTTACATAACTGGAGAAAAAATTGAGTAGTTTTGAATTACTGCAGGTGTGTCTGAAGTGCGAAATTGTAATAGCAAATTACAGTAATAAGCATACATGCAGATAAGGAATTATTTTGCTGTTAACCTAATTTTGAAACACCACTTAGGTGTATTCTGAATGAATAACAAGAAATTCCTTGGTTCTTTTGCAGATCGTTCCCGAGAAGTTTTAGAACAGCTGGTCATATCAAACAAAATCAAACAAGTAACGTGGACTGTTTACTGATTATTTATCATGTACGTATGAGTGTAAAGTTTACAGCTGGGAGAGAGCTCTTTCAGAAAACAAGCACCTTGGAGGAATAGCACCTTGGTGACTTTTGGACCATCAGATTGCTTCCCTCCTTGTTCCCACTAGAGGTCTCCATCGCCATTCCAGTCCTTGCCTGTGAGTCTGGGCTTCCCCATTGTCTCTACTTAGAGCCCTGTCTTGTCTTTGCATTGCTAATCATACTTCAGTAAGAGGAAAGTTAAACTATAATTAATATTACACTATCATCGCTCAGCCTCCTTCAAGTATGAGATTTGGCTACTACTTTGTATCTTTTACCATCGTAGTTACATATACAAACCAAATTTAAGTAAGTCTGAGTTTGTAGTCTGAGAGGGTAGTTGCAACTAAAAGTACCAACCCAAACATTTTTGCTGGAGTGTCTCTAAGGTTGGGACTGTAATCTGGCAAAAGTCAACAGATCGAATTGGTGACTGGAGGTGGCATTAACAGCAATGAAAATGTATTTTTAGTAAGAAACAGTCTCCTTTTACCATGTGCTTTTGCTGGGTCTGGAAAAAAACTGTAGGTATCTTTTTTTTGATGCTACTGATGCTGCAGGTTTCTGTTCTTATTTTCTAATATTTGCTGGATTTTTATACTTCAAAAACTACAGTCTGTGGACACGTAAACATAAACTTTGAAATTGTGGTGACTTAATTACAAAGTAGTAGCTATAAGTGATTAAAAAAATCTGATATATGGGCAAATACTTATTTGCTCTGACTTTTGCCTAAGTTGATGAAAATCCTTCTAGGGAACAAAATACTGGTCCTCATAAGCATTGCTGTGAGTGAAATAGGACCAAATTGAATGAGTACATGAATCTCAGGATGCTAGAGTTCAGCAGAGTATGTGTTCTGCTTTGTGTGGTTTCTTATCTTTCTAGTGGCTCCAGAAGCTGAAAATAACCACTTATATATTGCTCAATTGTGGTCATAGTAAAGAAAAAAATCTTAAAGTGTAAAATGTGTTTATTACATGCTGACAATTAGAAGTCATGTTCATTGACTTTCTTGAAACAGCATAACCTCTAGTGGCAATTTTTGGATTTTTTTTTTACATTAAACTTTAAAAAATGTTAGCAATGGTGGGCAGGTGACACACTATGTTGATATTCTGCATCTGGAAGTAGCAGGGTTTAGCTAGGGTGATCTTACATGCATCTGATGACACTTAGGAAGCCATGAGTTTAGGCAACCATAAGGAATATGTTTACATTATAATTTTACACTTGTCATAGCCACAGTTATTTGAAGTGGTGCAGAAATAAACCAGTCTTCTACTAATCTATTTAAAATTCATGTCAAATTGCATGGAAGATAATATAAGTTGCATCCAGTAATATTAAAGGATATTACGATGTCTGTCAATAATCTCTGTTCTTCTGTTGATTATATGGTTTATGGAAGAGCAAGTTCATGTAGAAAATTTGTTCAAGTGTAACTGAAAGCGTAATTTTCAAACTCCAGTGCCTAAATGCCTGGCTTCTGCTGCATGCAGTGCCATGTCTCAGCCCCGTGATGAGTACATTCCTATGATACTTATAGGTACAGTGGCATTAGTACAAACCATTCCTGCAAACAGGAGAAGTTGGTTTTGCTACATTAGCAACTTGCATCTGAAAGCTGTAATTGCAGTGACTCCTTGGACCAGATTGAGGCCTAAGAACGTAATCTACCACATTTTATTCCCTTTCTTGGCTAAAGAGTAGCTTATAGGATTGCCCTGTGGAATCCCTGTTATCAGTCAGGGCCCATCATTTCTTTGAAGTCCTGGACATGAGTTGGCAATAAATTTGTTTTGTACAGTTTTTCATATTGATCCATCTAGCTGATTAGGCAGCAGCAATGACACTCTCAGTAGTTGTGACAAACAAGTAAAGCATAATGACCATGCTGCCAGCCCTGGCTTCAAGAAAGCAACTGCAAAAAAAAGTAAAATTGTGAGCTAACTCAGGTGGGACGGGGCCTCAGAAGTTTTCTAGTCTAACTTCCTGCCACCTCAGAACTCAAACCTGCTTCATTACGGCTTTATCCAGCCCAGTCCCGAAAAACTGAAGATGACAGAACCTTCACAAACTGAGGGAATTTGTTCCATGGCTTGACTATATTAATGGTGGGAAGATTTTCCCTTCTATCCTGTTTCGACCCTCTTTTGCTTCAGTTTACAACCCTTCTCACTGGAAGAGCCTGGCTGTCATCCTGCCAACCTCCTCCATAGGTATGGTCAGGCTGCTTGTAGATCCCTTGAAGCCTTTGCTTTTCCAAGCTGAAGAAGCCTAGTTCCCTCAGACTATTATTGTAAGACGTGTAACTACAACACAGCGTGGTGACTATTGACAGACTTTCATCTCAAGTGCTACAACCAGAAAGAAGATTCTAAATGGAGTTGACATAAAGCAGCTAAAGGTGTAAGAGCACCAAAGTCTTTAACAGCAAAGGACACTTACAGAACAAATTCTATCTGTGGGACAGTGCAACTGCTAACCTCACTGCCCGAGTGGTTCTTTTTCCCCTTGTTAACGTAAGTTTGGATTTGTCAGGTTGAAGGCAAATGCAGCTTACACTGTGTCCTTAAGCATGCATGTAGGTTTACATCTTCTCCTGTCGCCTCTACTGAATGTGTAACTTAGTGGTAGATTCTCATCTGTGCTTAAAAATCTGTACAACACTGCAATGAATTACCATTGTATTTTTAGGCTTGAAAGTTTAACATAAGTCATGTTAAATCCTTCAGTGTCAGAGCATGAGTCTGTATGCTTATGTGTGTATTATTAGCATAACTACTGAATATTTGTTGATTCAAGTTAAATCACAATCATTTTCAACAAGTGTTTACAAGCATTGGGTGAAGTGGGAGAAGAACGGTCTGCACGTGTTTCCATATTGTTTGGATATTGTTACTGTTGTATGTTGTTGGGTGAGCACTGCAGAATACTTACTGAAGATTAAAGTTTGCAAACCTCCTGTTTGGATAGTTATGAAAACTTTAAGTTATATTTTGTAACCATGTGCATTGTGAATGTGTTCCTAAACCTCCTACTTCATGAACACCATAGTTTTTTGAGAGAGCACCACCTGCTTTTTCATTTTTATAAGCTTCTACCATATCACCTGATATTTGGATAGGTGTAGGTGCACTGTGTTCAACTCCGCAGTTACTAGTTACTCATCACTGCTTGTCCAGTAATTAAATGCTAAAGGGGACAGTTGCTGCAGAACTTCCTGAAATGTTGGTTCTTCTTCAGATGGCTTCAGTCACAACCTCCGGCCTGTGTTTTAACCCTGCAGAGGGTTCTTCCTTGACAGATGGACCTAAGAACGATTCTTAGGCTCCTTGTTCAGTATCTCCTCCAGAGAAGAGAAAAATAATTCTACCTGACTTTTTAGTTCCTGTTTTTATTTAATTACTTTCTGTTCAAAAATGTCACGGAAGGAAAGATTTCTTTACCCTCACCAGTTTCCCATGGTGAGAGATTGCCTTTTTTTTACCCCTGCAAAGTTAGAGAATGTAGATCATTTGACCTACTCTAAAGGATAAAGTTACCCTATAGCCATTATTATTTAGTCACTTCCCACTTAGTAAAAACTTCAACTCTAGCTATAGTTCAAGAAGTGTAATTTAGATTTGTGTACAACTCCTGAATAATCACTCCAGCAGCTTAAATGAAGAGAAAACGTTTTATTATAGAGGGGAAGGGGGGAAAGAGTCAATAAATTACTTTGACATTCAGAAGAGATACCTTAAAAGAAGAGCAAGGCACTTTGAGCACAGTATGAGCTAATACTTTAGTGGAGAATTTTATGAAGGACAGCAATAATTTTCATTGTAATTAAGCTGCAGCAGTCTCTGAAAGCAGTGCAGTAGTACTTCAGGCACCACCTTTTCCCCCACAGCAATATGCTGGATGTCCAGTGCGTTTCACAATAGTGTCAAAAAGCAAAACATGAATATATATGAAAAACATCAAGCATGCAAACTCTTCCATGTTACTTGTCTTTGGATTTATCCTTCAGCAGGCCCCTTTGAAGACAGTTTGCATGTAGTTTTTACCTCAGATGGAGCAAAAGCCTCAGTGAGTACGACCAAAATCAATACAGAGAAGGTACAGTAATCTACTTTGCATCAACATTGTGCTTCATGTTGAATTCCCATTTTCAATTTACACACTTACAAAAATAAAAAAGCCAACCAAGTGAGACAGAATTCATTAGAAAGCCAGCTTCAGCAGCTTTCCAAGCTATCTGAGGGCTGATAGCTCCAAACAATACTTGATGTTAATCCATTGTTCTCTTGTCTAGTATACTCGGGAAGTGAATATTCTATGACTTTGTGCAACTGACTGTGAATACGGTGGCTTAAAAACTGATGCCTGCCAGGGTCACCAATCAGCACTTCAGTTTGCTGTATCCTGATGCATTTCCTCAGCCAGTGATGCAGACCATCAGCAAGCTGTTCATCGTAAAACATATCTCCTAGAACAATGAGGTCCCAGTTGCCAGCCTCTGAGTTAATGATGTTCTTAATGGTGATGGGGAAGGGATTCAAGTGGTTCAGTTCACAGTTCAAGATCATTGCTATTCCTGCAACTAAAGAAAAGACAAAACGAAAGTTACGTTTTTGCATTCTGCCACTCATGCCCCATACAAATTTCCTTGACACATCACTCATCTCTTTAATATTTTTGTTTATCCTATCTAGGAACTTCCACAGTTTTCATTATCTAGCATAAGTGATAGAATTCTACCCTCACTGCACCATGAGGTAGGAAAGAATATTCCTGGAATGGATACCAATGGAAACCAATCACAGAATTGAACCAGAATATCCCAACTGCTGAACCCAGGTCATTAAGGCAGGACACTTTATGTATATACTTCCTCCCTAACCAATGTGTAACTAAATCATGAATAAACTGAATTCATAGTCAATCATGGGAAAACTAAATGGGGGGTGAAGGGGAAAGACAAAATCTAGGTCCTAAAACATGGAAGGGCAGGAAATTGCTATGGTCCTACAGAGAAGCTAACTTGTCACCTGTGCTTGGAATTCTCCTCCAACCCAGCTGTGATGGTGTACAGGCAACACTCCATAGGAACTTTCCTGTTTGTTCATTCTACAGAGTTAGGGAGATATACCCAGTACAAGAGAGGTGGGTATAACCCAGCTTCCCATACTGGCAAAATCCATCCATCTTTTTAGCATTCTTAGAACTCTCTTTGGAACATGAATTTCTCCCCAGTGGAGCAAAGAAACATTTGTGTTAAATGTGCTTTAAAAATTAATAAATATCTTTACACAGAGATGAAAAGAAAAAAGGCCTTACTAGGGTCAATGTCATTAGCAAGGACTTGCGATGCACCGCTCATCACAGCAGCTATTGCTGTTGCTCCACATCCACTTCCAAGATCCAAAACCGATCGTCCTTTAACAACACGTGGATTATCTAAAATATACCTGAAAAGAAAAAACAGCATTCAAGCAATGAATGGGATTATGCAGATTTCTGTTTTGCATTACACTGCATCAGAGTTCTTGTCACACATGTAATGAAGCGTAGTATCTTAAGAACATGACTCCACATGTGCAACTGATACATGGCTCCTTCTTTGTTGCTACTGATATAAAAATGAAAACCCATCGTCTTTCTCCCCTATTTGTCTTCCAACCCACCCCCAAAAAAAACAAAACCCAACCAAAAAACAACCAAACAAACCCAACCAAAACCCAACCAACACAACAACAACAACAACAAATTAAAATTGATCCAAGTAAGAAACATTTTATTTCAATCAGCTCCTTCTCTGACAGGTGAGCTTATCTGATACACGGACACAAACTGCAAGGTGACTAAAATGCTTGGCACCAGACTCCGGAAAAGAAGGATCTGTAGAAATTAAAAGCAATCTGACTGAAGAAGCATGAGGATATATTCACAGTTGAATATTGTACCCATCAAAAGACAAGGCCTACCCACTGCCCTAAAATACTGCTCATGCAACTGCCTGGAAGAACAATGTCTCCTCTTACTTTTCCTGAGCCAGGCAGACACAGATACAAATACTTGTAGTCTGCTTAATGTTGCTCCTGAGTTAGGAGTAAGCAAATGAGATTTAAGCAGTAGTGAGCAGAAAGGGTATCTTCACCCAGTTGCGGACACCTGCCAAGAGGAATCCACAAGCAAAATCCTCTGGGCTGGAAATGGAGAACTGACAGAAAGCAAGCAGCAGTTACTGCTGAACACTACAGATCATCTAGCCATTACCGAAGGCTCACAACTTAAACAACTGCCTCGAAATTCAATCTTCTGCAAATGGGAAGGCCTTAAGTGAAGGGGACAAGAGCCCCAGGTGACAAGTTACTGCAAATTGCCATAAATTCACTACCAATTTCCATAACTTCTTTTAAAGTAGAAACAGAAAGGATTCTACGTCTGTGTTGTGTTCCAAGATGGAGGATTATAGCTGACTCTTTGCACAGGGCTATGGGTAAGCACAAGTTTTGCTGTGGGTTGAAATGCAGAGAACTGTAATGGAAATGTTAAGATGGGTGTAAATGGCAAACGGATGGATGGAAAGGCCAGGACCTAGAAGCACCAGCAGGAATAGCAGAATGAGGCCTAGTAAGATTGTCAAGTGTTAACGGCACCTAATGGCTAGAGCCCAACACATCTGTATGCAGATTCCTAGGAGCCCAGCTTGGGAGAACGAAAGACAACCCACCCTCGTACTAAACACTTCAAGCCATTAAGAGACAACAGCAGGAAGGTCAAGACCAGGAGTGAAGATACAGAACACCCAGATCAGAATAAATCAAGAGACATGAGGATGGCCTGACATCCTATGCCTCTTGTCCTGTGTGTCATCACAAGAAATCCTACCAGTTTAGGTATGCAGAGTTTGGTGCTTTTGAGTATGTAGTTATAAATCTAGTAAGTGAAACTGTCTCAGTTTTTAAGGAAAATTACGTTCTCCCATGGCACCCACACAGGGCGTTATGCTGCTGTTGGGAACTGCTGTCTGCTGTGCTGGGTTAACAAGATGCCTTGGGTTTCACCAAGAGGAATAGCTTGAAATGGGAGAGTCCTGATGCTATGGAAATGCCAACCATGAAACCAGCACAGTTAGGGAAGCAGCATGTTTTCAGGCTCCCTTTTTCTTTTTACTTTTTCAGATTATGCAGATAATGTCTGACATCTCCAGTACATCAAACAAGTGCTTAAACACAATGAAATGTCAGATAGTTATTATTGCTACCCAAATGTCTGAGCATGTGGATCATACAATGACAAAATGTAAATACTACCTTACCTAACTTAATCATGCAATATTTAGGAGCACTCAGGTTCATCTACATGGCAGACTAATCAAGTCACAACTTACCTGTAAGACTCCTCTTTCTCCTGGTCAAAAATACATGCTTCTCATGCTTTCTGACAGAAAAACAATAAAGCCCAATTCAGATCCTTCTCTTTCATCTATTTGGGGGATGTCTGACAGCTTCTTTGCTGTAGCAATTATAAGGTTTTGCTGCTGATCAAAGTGAAAGATCTGATTTTACAGAATAAAAGAACTCTAACTAGTTGTTGGAAATCAGGAATATTAAAGACATTTTGACAGTAAGCGGCCAAAACCAAAGTGTGGCTTCAGATGTGACTAAGAGACAGCTACAATAAGGCTGCTGAAATCCTACATGAGGAGGATGATACAGGCTAACCAACACTCCAAGTGCATCAGCATAAACTTACTTTTCTCGACAGACCATACCATAAAAGAAAAAAAAATAATTAAAATAACCAAACCCACGTTATGACAAAACAGCAATCCTCTTGTTCAGAGTGACAATGAGTGATAAACAGCTCACTAGGTTTTGGTTGCACAGCCCTCCATAGACCCAAATTCAGCCCTGTTGTCAACACATGCATAGCCACTGAAGAGAACAGATTTCAACCCAAGAGCTCTAAATTGTTCTATATACAACAGGTGCTGAACTTTCACTGCCAACCAGCAAAGGCTGAGCCTTTCCTATATAAGCAGAGGAGTATGGATAATGCACTCTCATGCAGGGCAAATACACATCACTGGAAATCACTACAAACACAGCTAGGTTTGACATCCTGGCCCACAGCAAACTGGACTTAGAACTTCAGTGATGCCTGCTGGTTACCTGGAGAGGGCTTGGCCTCCTGGCCAGTAAATTGCCCAGAACGGGTCCCCGTAAGGCCACAGGTCAGGTTTTTCCTTCCAGAACCTGCAGCGAGGTGTGAGGAGGCGCAGACGTATTTCTGGTGTGAGGTGCCCACTGCTGGTGACTTCAGTGTTCTCCTCCAAAAACGCTCTAACCTCGGGGTCCAGAGACTTGCCGGCGCTCCAATGGCTGCAGCGCTTCCAGCGCAGAGAAGGGCCTCCTCCCCTCCTGCTCCTCCAAGCCTTGGCAAAGGTGTCCTGCCTGCCCAAGAGGAGGAGCCACTTCCAGCTGCGGAAGGCCATGTCTCCCCACGATTGCTAAGAGCACAGCTTATCTGAAGCAGATGATGAGGCAGAAAGCTTGAAACAAACTCACAGGATGTTGTTTTTCATAGCGAGATGACTTCCTAAAAGGAGAACAAGGTCAGTGGTGTTTCCTCAGTAACTTCAAGGCTGTGCACCACCAGGGTTTAAGGAAGGAGGTGCATGTGCTCTGGTATGACCATGAATGCGTGCCTTGCCCCTTCTCAGCCTTTGGAATCTGAAAGAAGGGCATTTAAGGAAGAAGGTAACAAGACACCCATTCAGGAGTGTGCTATGAACATATCCAGTGAGAAACAACCAGCTAGCAGGATAGCAGACAGAGCTAAAAATTAAATTTGTGGCCTTTTAACATTTCTCTGCACACAGCAACCTACCCCATTTAAGGTTCTTATACTGAAGATTCTGCAGCAGGGCTCTGGCATTGCAGGACCTATGGACATAGCAAAGGTTATCAGTAGGTTGACTGAGAGACACTGTTAATTACAAGTATTATGAGGATGACAAGTCTTTCAAATGACAGCATCTTTTCAAAGGCAAGCAATTAAAAGCTTTCCTCAACAGATTTTCCTCTTTCTCAGATTTGGCAGGCTGCCAGCTCCAAAATGAAAAGTGAAAATAAATAAATAAAAAGAGCACCCCAAGAACTGATCTTAATCAGAATGCTCCTGACTTTGCTTTTCAGTCTGTATTTTAAAGGCTCCGTTAGTCTTACGGAGCAATAGTCACATGTGGATGCTCTCAGCTGTAGAAGAAAGGAGAACTTAATGTAGCCCACTCACTGTGGGGAACTATAGAAACATGCTCCAAGCTGTCTGAAGAGAGAGAAGCTGAGTCCAACATGTTTTTAAAAATGAAGTTTTTAGAAGGTGAGACAGTCAGACTGTATGAACGCTCACTGAAAGGGCCCCTGACACCACTCAAGGCCAGTTTTAAGGTCACAAGCAGTGGAAAAAAAGGAGAATGGAGGATTGGTATGTCAGAGTTTAGACTAATCTAAGAATCAGGAGAATGGAGTGTGAAGAGCTGCAGCTCTTGGCTGAGCAGCAGATAAAGAAGAATCTCTCAGCACCTTATTATCCACCACCACCCTGATTCTTTCTTATGCTGATCCTGCGATTGTTCCTCCCAAGGGGTGGCCTGAAGAGAGAGCAGCTGGTTTTCTGCCTTGCTGCTCACACCTCCTTCTTCACCCATCCTTCAGCATTTATGGATCTTTTTCCTTCCTCATCTTGCTCTCTAATTTCAGTCACTGGACTTACTTGCTCCAGGGCACAGTTTTTGAACCTCCCCCTAAACTGATGACCAGAGAAATGTTTGAGGCCTGCACTTCCACAGGAGCAAGACCATAGGTACAGAGACACGGGAGAAACTGCACTTGGTGGTTTGTGGTTGTTTTTTCTCTCTCTTCTGCAATGGTTTTCATGAAAAAGCAGAATCATGCACCAAGAAAATCAACTTCAGCCTGCCCCTGCCCGTTTTTCACAACAGAAGAACTGTGGCCAGCTTCACCATCTAGAGCTATGAAGGTTGTCCTTAAAAAATAATGAGTCAAAGGGATAACAGGAAAAATATGCTAATAAAATAAAGTCTTAACACTTCATGTTTCACTGTTTCATTTTTTGTCTGTAGTAAAATATGTATTTTATTGGCATTTTTGTGTGCACTGGCCTCTGCTTCAGGTACTGGGTTAGTTTGATTGCTTATTGGAATGTTAAGCCATGACCGTCCTTCCTGTTACACTTTGCTATTTAGGCTGATAGTCCAGTTAAGTCTTTGCTTAAGTCATTGGCTAAAAGCTTTATATTTTTATTACAAATAAATACATGTGTCTGAACACTTTGAGGTTTTCCACATCGGAGAATGCCATTCCACAGTCCATGTAACTTACAAACATAATTAATTACTGCCTTTCTTCTTGTAGGCAAGGCTATATAATCCTCACTTGCTTGAGCGAAGCATGAACTTAACTGAAATCACAGATACAAATCTTACCAGCTAATGCTGTGTACTGGTTCCCCCCCCCCCTCCCCATGAATTACTACAAAGTAGCAGGGCTCTGATTCAGTAGCACATTACATCGCCTGTCACAATGGTTACTCTTTCCAATTGAGTTTACGTAAGTACAGGATGGTTTGGGTTGGAAGGGACTTCAAAGCTCATCTAGTTCTAACCCATTTGCCACAGCTTCTCTGGGCAACCTGTGCCAGTGCCTCACCACCCTCACAGTGAAGAATTTCTTCCCACTGTCTAATCTAAATCTACCCTTTCCAATAGGGGTAGAAAAATACCTGCTAAGAGCTGCCCTCAAAATGCCAACCTGAGTTTAGGTATTCAGTGTAGGAAGGTGTCAGAACAGATATTCTTTCATTTGACAGTCCTGGCCTTCCCATCTTACTGGGAATAAAACGAGTGGGTGAGTAGAACACCGATAAAAACAAACAAACAAACAAACAAAACCACAAAACAACAAAAACACAACAAATCACACAATCAACTAAACACAACACCCCCCCACCCCCCCAAAAACACCACTATCAAACCGTAACCAAGCCAACCACCCAAAATCCTGTACAGTTTAAGCTTTGAGTGCCTTTCACACCGTAACCACCCCGGCCCACGCTTCCCATCGGAATCAGCCAGACCTAACCGAGGGAGGCCAACACCGCGCCATCACCCAGCGCCGCGGCATCACCGCTTCCACTCAGACGTCCCCAGCTTGTCACCCGGGCCGGGCAGCCCCTGCCAAGCGGCCGCCAGCCCCGCAAGCGCAAGAGAACTGGCACCGAGGCCACGGCCTGCGCCGCCCCAACCCGTGCAGGCCCGACCGCACCGCTACAGCCGCCGCTGTCCCGGCCGCGACACTCCCCGGCGGGGCGGGACCGCGACACGGGCCGGAGAGCGCCCGGCCCACACCTACCTGCTGCCGGCCACCGCCGCTCCGCTCCGCTCCTCCCGCTGCGCGGGGCCGGGCCGAGAAGGGCCGAGCTCCCGCCCGCCCTTAAAGCGGCAGCACTGCGGAGCAGGGGGTACCGGCCCCGGCAGCTTCGCCCTGAAGCGCATGCTAGTGGTTGGGGTTATCTATTTCCATCCCGCAGCGGTTCGGGCCTTGCCCCTCTCTAAATGTAGGCCAGTGGTGGGCATCGTGTGCGTGCTCTGCTCCTGCTTCAGTTAAAGTACTTTTAAAAAGGCTTGTGTCAATGTGAACTAGGCCGTACTTTAAAATGTTAATAAAAATACATGTGGGAAAAGGAGTAGCAACACATACTCAAATTTGACAGCAGTAAAAATGGTATTTCATGTATTTTTCTTCCTTTACACACCACAACCAGGCCAATGCCTCATCTGGCATAGCCCAACCAATCCTCCCGATCTCTTTGAAACAGCAACAGCTATTGAAGGTGTCAGCCACCAAAAGATGGTCCTGTCAGTGCTGCAGTCAGTTTCTCAGGCAAGCTGGACATCCGTTTTCCTTTCCCTCTACATGTTTCTCTTCCCCATGCTCCATCCATCCCATTAACGTTTCTGCTGCTCCAAAGATCCCTTCACTTCTCCCCAAACCCTCTCCAGTGTAGACAGGAGGGAATGATCCTCCCTTACAGCACTGTTGTTTTTACTTGGGAGGACGCAGCCCTGCCCGAGCCACAAATTGTGGGGCGCCTCCTCGTAAAAGCTATAGTCCCAGGCGGCCAAACAGAGATCACGTCGGGGTCACCAATTTTGTTATAAAAATTCCGTCTTGGCCATGATCTGATTTAATTAATTTTTCATTACAATTGATTAATATCGAGAGGCGATAAGCAAGCAGCGCTGGGTGCGCCGGGGAGTCTCCACTCCACCCAAGATGCACACTGAGATTTCTGGGGTACAGTCTCTTACACTCCTCAGCCTTGGGTTTCAGCCAATCCTGTCGTCTCCTTCACCCAAATACCGACATGGTTCCTTTTCATTGTTCTCCTCCTGTTGCTGGGATCTTATCTTTGGGTGATGAAACTTCTTAAAAAGTCATTGAATTCCTTAGCAATACATTAACATGGAATGTCTGTCACAAGCTTAACCACTATTTTAGCCCCCTCAATTCCATTTCTTATATAGTTACATATTGAATACACAAGGTTCACCTCATCCCGTAACAGAATGTATCCCTTGATTACCTAGCCCCCTTAAGGTATTCAAGCAGTTAAACAAAACACCCTCTGTAGTTAGCAAAGCATTTGAGACATTCAAGTAGTTAAAAAAAGTACCCCTTAAAGTAACAAAGACTTTGATTAAGAAGGATTATTCCTTTGTTCCTTCTTTTCTTTTCATCATTGTATTTACAGGAACTCCCATCTTAATCTGATCATTCGTATACATTCTACACATGATTTCGATTCCTCCCGAAGTGCAATGATGACAAGGACTCCTAAGTTTCTGACACGAATCATTCCTACATACCTCACAATTCCCCCCTTTGTTTTTGTGCAACTAATTGATTCGTGTCTTGGCCTCCAATTTAATAACTGCCTTTTGAGCAGCAGATAATAATGGAGTCATCTTTGTTTTTAATATCATTAACGAGTGGGTTCCTCCCTTATTTTCTGGTTCCAATGGCATGATGGTTAACTGCATGTTTTGTATAACTGTATGTATCAATCTGGTGAAACATGGGATTATACGTGGAATAATTAATAGTCCTCCAAATATTCCTAATATCACTATACCAATTTTAATGATCTAGTCCCCATTTAAAAATTGTCCCCAAGATCCCAATCCTCCTAAATTGATTCCATTCCAGGTTGATACTGGAACATGGGCTACCTTTTTCATTTCTCCCACAAGTTCACTTATGGCTTTTCCCTCATCATCTATTTCTAAACAGCAATTACTGAGATTGAATTTTCCACAGACCCCTCCTTCTTGAGCTAGCAAATAATCCAAAGCCAAACGATTCTGGTATATTGCAGTTCTCATTTTAGTATTTTGCTTTGCAACTAGTCCTAATGCATCTCCTGTTTTATTTACTATTATTTCTACTACCGCTTGTAATCTTATAAACCTATTCAGCATATATATAGGAGTCCTGTATCCCCAGGAACCATCTTCAGCCCACGTTGCCGGATCATAATAAGAAATTATTCGTTCAGGTGGCCACTCATTGTCTTTCCAATTACCTATTTGTAGTTCTGTATCGTTTTCTCCTTAGTTCACCTGTTTCTGTATATAACTGGACTCCCAAGCGTTCCCCTCAGCTTATAGGTAATAAAAAGAAACTGGTCTGATGGTTCCTAATATACATGATCCTGTCCAGTTTTGAGGTAAAAATGCAAAGGCTATTTTACCACAGATCCAATCATGTCCATCTGGAGTGGGCCAACCATTTGGTATGTTAGTTCCATTAGTCCAGTTACTGAATCGCTGATTTATTTCTCTAGGTTTTCCCCATTTTTCCCAGTCTTTTTTTGTCCTGTTCCATATATATATATATCCCCCTCACAAAGTAAATTTCCTACAGGTTTTCCACCATTTTCTAAATTCTACCAACAACTTTTCACAATTATATTTGTTTGTAAGATCCATTGTTGTCTTCTATTTTTCCCTTTTCAATTTTTCCAGATTGCAGTGTTGCTCATATTACTCTCCATTGCCTCCCAGGGCTATCTCTGCCCTTGGTTAGTTCCCCCACAAACATAGCAGTTAGTTACATTCAATGCTTTAGCTATATTTTCAGCAAGATTTACAAAGAGATTTTTAGCAACTGGGAATTTCATATTGGACTCATCTTTCCATTTCATGATAGAAGGAATTGAATAATAAGTGGTGTTGTACTGACTCTCTAGATTTTTCTTTAATTATTACTTGTAAAATCACCCCTGGATCTTCTCCAGTTCCATAAATTGATAGTCCAATTTTTATCTCCTCTTGTCTCCATTGTCCTGGGTTCCAAATAGTTAGATTGACAGGATTACAAGAATGGGCTGTGCAATTGGGAAAAGTTATTCCCTTTTTAA